AAGAGAAGAATAGTCCCTAATTTAACAAAAGGGACTTGACTTAATTGTCTCTCTGCTCAGTGACTTTGTTCCAGCTGAATTAAAAGAGAACTGTTTGTGAATGTTTGCCTTCTTTCATTTGTTCTAAGACTATTAAAAATGTATAACTGTTAACCTACCCAACAGTGTCATTTGAGACCTAAGATTATAAGGCTAAAAGGAAGCATAATAAATAGAGTCAGTAATATCTGTACTCAGAGGTAAGAGAACCATGCCTGATATATTAATTTAATTTCTTTTTCCGAATTAAAGGAGGTTGTATACAGACTCTGTACAAAATATCAGGTAGTCAAGACTTGGTCTTATAATCTTTCCCCTAAATCATCACAAGTAAATAAGGAAATTATAAATATGTGATTAGGTAAACGAAGTTGGAAGAGGAAAACAACTAGTCTTATTAAATGTATCTTGGCAGTAGGGTTTTGCAAAGCCAAGGTCACTTCCTCTGTGGCTTTCTCTCATGACTGCCTTTGTTTCTCTTTTGGCAGTAATTGCTTCCTGATCTGGAGCATTTCTTATCCAAGCTACCCATTTGACATGAACTAAGTCACTGTTGTTTATTATGTTGTGCATTTAAGATATATCAATTATTAAATTAATTAAACAAGGAGACAAGCTGAGGTGGCTGTAATGTCATATACAAGCAATCCAAAATCTAAGCCTGTAAATGTCTCAATGTTACAAAATCAAAACCTAAGGACAATCCATTGCAAACAGCCATCTAGGCTTTAAGCTGTAGCCGGTCAATAATTTCCTTGCTTTGCTTCCATCTTTTCTCAGTAAAAGTGTCTCCCTGCGCTTCCTGTCCATGGAATGCTCCTAACCACTTCTGGCTTGACACTGCCAGATTGGAATACATTCTTGATCAAATAAGATCTTAAACTTTTTAATTTGCCTCAGTTTATGTTTTAACACTGTACAGTAAAAAGACCACATTTGAAAACCAGATGGAATTCTTTTTATGCTGATGAGAATTGCCTTTTAAAGTAAAAGGAGGTTAAATTCCAACATTGCTTCAAGTGTTTTTGAGAGAAAGGGGGTATTCTCCTTGCAAATTGCCTTCAGACTTTACCACAAACAAGAGGTGTTCCCTACCCCCCACCATAAGTTTGGAATAGTAGAACAGTTACTAGAAAAAGCACACTTCTTTCTTTTGTATCCCTAGGAAGTTCACCAGCCTTTCTGTGCTTTAGTGTCCTCAACCATAAAATAGCAGTACTTAACTCACAGAATGGTTCTAAAGGAATTAAATATCTAAATTGCTTAGTACAGTGCCTGGCCCATAATAAACACCGCATGCCTTTGCTGTTACTGTTTCTACCACTACTAACAGCTAGCAACTACTACTGACAATCCTCCCTCCTTTCATATTAATTTAAGAATTTATTGGCTCCAAATGACTTTTGGCTGTGTCTACAAACAAAAAACATCCCTCACAGCTGAAGATTTGCCACTAATGAAACAGTGAAAAGATGTGTGGCAGGATCTACCTTCAATTCTGAAAGGAGGTCCCCAAACTGTTTTGAGCAATGAAGTGACGTCACGCACAACCGCGCAGATGATTGCTCTGAAGGAAACCCTTTTCAGCTGATATATGTTGCACATTTTTAAAAGAGTCAGTCGTATACTTTACATCTTGTTTCTCCAAGGTAAATACGCTTCTTGAAGATAGAAGCTGTATTTTCCACTTCTGTGCACTTCGCATGGCATACAGCACACTGTTGTACAAATTGCAGGTGTTCAATAAATATGTTGATTAGCTGCTGAGGTAGAGTTGCAGGAAGGAGAATTAGGAATAAAATGTTCTCCAGTTAATTGCAAATTGCTTCCCTGCTTAAAAATGAATTTGCCTTTTATTATCTTTTTCCACAGTTTCTGGAAAATGCTTCAGTTGGCATTTGTCATTTGATTTTATACAATTTTATAAATTTGATGGAAATTTGAATTCGTGCAGAGTCTGTTGTAGGGTTTTCTATTTTTATTATTGTTTCAAAGTGGAAGGAAGTGTTGTGTAAAAGCAAGCCTGTTCCAATCACACTTCATGGAATTTGTTAAGAGAATCATCGAAATTTAGAGCTTGTAGGGACCACGTTGTTACAGCCTAAACACGCAGCACACTACCTAAGTGGAAACTTAATAAGTCATTGAAAAATAAACGAGCCATTGAGTACACTCTCTTCACTTCACAATTGAAGAAACTGAGGCCCAGATTCCTTGCCCTCAGTCACACAGTGGCATAAGATAGATTAAAATAAATGTTCCTTGATATCATCATGCTTTAAATGTGGATCTCACATTTAAATTGTAACATGGAAGAGACTTTAAATTTAGTCTTTGACAAACTTCTTTTACTTGAAAGAATGTGAATAAATCAAATTCTTGGTTAATATTAGTTACACTTTAGGAAGGCAGTCGTAAGAATTTGTTCATACAAGTCAAAAGGATTGTTTGAAGGTGAAACCAAAGCGAAATGTTTTTCAAGGGGTTTGTTCAAGGCCTGTCAATCTCTTCCTTTCCTTTCTCCCTCCCATAAGTTTTTTTCTCTGTTTTTATATGATTAGGGGTTCCTATCTACTATGAAAGACTTTCTGGTGGAGACATTTGTCTCTCTCAACACATAACACATCCACTTCTGTGCATCGCTTAGACTTTCAAGAAATATTGGTGGTATCCTGTTGACTGATTTTCTGTTATTTTACAGGATGGAAAAAAAGAGTCAAACTCATGTACCTGTATGAAGGGGCCGAAGCTCTCAGAAATAGGGACCATTGCCTGGATGATAACGCTCAGTGATGCCCTCCACAATTTCATCGATGGCCTGGCCATCGGGGCCTCCTGCACCTTGTCTCTTCTGCAGGGACTCAGCACTTCGATCGCCATCCTGTGCGAGGAGTTCCCTCATGAGTTAGGTAAGGGACTCTGCTCTTGTTCTCCAAGTCCGGTGCTTCTTGGTTTCAGGGGAGGGAGACGTTTCAGGTGACACACTCTTAAAAATCCTGCTGATGCCTCCCCTTTTTTAGACAATGATGATCTTCTTTTATTTCATCCCCAAATAGGAACGTAACGCTACTCACTTGATATGTTCTTCTTTTAGGGGACTTTGTGATCCTACTCAACGCAGGAATGAGTACTCGACAAGCCTTGTTATTCAATTTCCTTTCTGCGTGTTCCTGCTATGTTGGGCTAGCTTTTGGCATCTTGGTGGGCAATAATTTTGCTCCAAATATTATATTTGCCCTTGCTGGAGGCATGTTCCTCTATATTTCTCTGGCGGATATGGTAAGAAATTTTAAGATTTTTATCTTGTTTTAATTTAAATTTGGAATGACACATCTGGGTTATGAATTGACTAAGGGTGACCTTTTGCTTTCCACAGTGTGGAAGGCCTTTCTGTTGTAGTTTAAAATATTCCTGGCCCAACAGATAACTCTTTTTCAGTAGTTTGTACTAATAGTGATTTGAAAGTGATTCTCCTTGATTGTTTGATCTAGGATCTCATTGACAGAGGATGAAATGACTTATTTTTGCTGAAGGAGAGATATCTTCCCAGTTTTTTTTGCCTTGTGGGTAAAGCTTGTATTCTATAGTATGTCTCCATAGGACTTTCCTCTCTTCTTTTGTTAGGATGTCACATTCAGAAGGGAATAACTTGTTAAAGTAAATAGCATTTTGTTATTTCAAAGTTCTGAACAGTGAGAGCCTTTTGAGTTAAACTAAAACTGGTAAATTAAAATTGAATGATATTTACTTGGGACGGTATATATTTGTATCTATGTTTATGTATATGCTGTGTCTGTCTTTATGTCTGTGTGTGTGTAAGAGAGAGAATACCAAAGGTCCTGTGCATTTTCAAATAAATCATGGACAGCTTTCTAGAAAATGAAAATGTGCTAAGTGGATGCAACTCAAGGAATGTTTCTTTTGCATTTGGAACTGAGGATGTATTACATACATAATTTAATAATTTAATTTCCTTCATCTGCATTCTTAGCTCCAAATGATAACTGTCTAGCTCTGTTCATTGCTCTGTGCAGGCCCTTATAAGTGCAAGGATTTCATCTCTTAGAACCATCACTGCATTTATGTTTTTCGTCACAGAATTAATGCCTCATAGCATATTTTATGCAAGGTCATCACTTCTCCTTTCTGTAATGTAAGAACAGAATCTATTAGAGTTATTGAATTTAAAGAAATAATACTAATAAATGATGCTGTATATACTTACTTGCTTTTTTCAGAAAGTATACTTGCTTCTTTCAGAACGGTTTCATAAATGTCATCCATTTTATCCCAGTAAGTTTTCTCAAATCAGGCAGGTGGATTGACAGTGGATTCTGGAGACCTCTTGGATGCTTTGGTACAATGCACCACTGTATGCATTGTATGTATAGCAAATCAATGTATGTATAGCAGATCACTTTGAAATATGTTTTGAAACGATGGTGTTTACAGATCTCCTCATGAAGCCTTTTCAGTAGAAGTTATATGCTGAGAAAGGATAGCTTTTAAGTACAGAACTCGGGGTTTTAATTGCTTTCACTGCAATAAGATTGTTTTAGTCTTCATTTCAAGAACAGAGCACAGTTTATTTAAAAACCTTATGATTTTGCGAGGGACAGAACAAGCAAAAGGAAACAAATTGAAGAGAACAGGAATTAAATATATAGTGATTTCTAAAAATGTATTTAATCAGCTACTATTGATTGATATTTTTGTATCAGGCTTGGAAATTGTGGATCCTGGAGAGAGCAAAAAAGGCACAGTCCCCGTGTTCCTGGGGCTTCTGTCTACAAAGAGGGGAACCTGAAATTCAACAAACAAACAAAATCACACACATGATTACATAATTACAAATAAAAAACTGTGAAATGAAAGGAAAAACAATATACATGATGAAAGATGATAATAAGGGAACCTAAATTAGGAGGGCGTAAGAGAAGCCTTCCGAGGAAAGTAAGATTTAGGCTGAAACCTCAAAGATTTAGCTCATTGAACATTTTGAGGGAAAAGGTTCAGATAGAGGTTTTGGTGGGTGTGAAGATTTTGAGGATGGAAAGAGGCTAGATGCATTTGAGGTCCAAAAAGAATGATGTGGATGGAGCAGAGAGAGCGAAGAAGAGAGCTGAGGGGGAGAGAGAGAGAGAGAGAGAGAGAGACATAAAATGAGATTCATCCCATCCCACTGTATCGACTCACTTGGGGAACACTATTTTCGTACTTTTTGTCTTGTTGATGTCTAGTAGGGCTGGATATCACTGTTATGCTCTCTATACTAAAACATCTAAACAACTCAGAGAAATGCTCGTCGCCTCCCACCTCCACAGGAATCTATCAGTGGCAGTTTTATGTTCTCCCACAAGATGGCAACAGTTATCTAACAATATATCTTCCCTCTAGTTTCCAGAGATGAATGATATGCTGAGAGAAAAGGTAACTGGAAGAAAAACCGATTTCACCTTCTTTATGATTCAGAATGCTGGGGTGTTAACTGGATTCACAGCCATTCTGCTCATTACTTTGTATGCAGGAGAAATTGAATTGGAGTAAATAAGAAGTGAAAGATGGTGTTGTTAACGAAGGCATTTAATAAATAAAACAGCTCCTATTGAGTTAAAAGATAATTTTGTTTTCAGCTGTAGGTCAAGAAAACTGATTGTTGGTTTTCTGATCTGTGAGATAGGCCATTATTTGTTGTTAAAAATCCTTCAAAAAGCTTTTCAGTTCCAGCCTGAGAAGCCTGATACATGAGGTATTTGTTAAATACTCAATTTTTTTATGTTTCATGCACACTAAAAATCATCACAGAGCAAGAAACAACGCATTCTATAATCATTCTGACACCAAGACTTGGAGAAAAATACAGACTAGGCCGTATAAGCCTTTGAACCTCTATGGTTGTATCAAATGTTCAAGTAGTTTCAGAGTGGTTTTCTTTGAATTAATTTGTTTTAGTGCTTTCACAAGCAAGTACACAGATACAAATGATTCCAAGGCCTTAGTGAACCCAGGAGAGAAAGATTGCTCATAGCTTTTGTTTTGTTTTATATTTCAGTTAGGGACTTCTAGGATTGTTTTGGAAACCATCCTGAAATAATATGAATTATGAAATCAGTAAAGTTTTGTTAGCCCTACTAAGTCCAGACTCAGTGTAAACTCCACCAGATTCCGTAAAAAGCCAGAATTGCTTTCTTATGACTTATGTTATGGTTGTACCATGGCAAATGGCAGAACAGTATGTAAAGCTGGTGACAACAACGTTTCGGTATCCAATGTGTTTGCTTGTGAAGGTGAAGAAAATGTTGGTTTATAGAAAGAAATTGAATGTAATTTTAAGCAATTTACTTTTAAAGATGAACACAACTATTTAGCAGAGGATATTTTAAGTAAATGCAAAATAACAGCAGGACGGCTGTATGCCAAAGACTGATTGGCTAGGAAATATATGTTCCTTATGGGTGACTGAGAGACATTCAGGAAATACTTCTTTTGTGTTCAGCCTACATTTCTCCTATATTGTATACCTTACAAAATAATTCCACACAACACCATGGTTATTTTTCTACCCTTTATAAGAGATAGAGCCTGTTTATTCATTTAGCAGATACAAAAAGTTGGTCTATAATTGAACATCCTAATCCCAATTCACACTCCCAAGTCGTTTAAGGAAAGATGATTTGACAGTGAGGAAAATGATTGAAAGAAGCCAACAATGATCTCAGGAATTATATTTTTCTACAGACCATAAAATGATGTCACATAGCAATAATGCAGATGGGATGAATATTTAAAATGTATGTTAATGTACATTTCACTCTATGACTGACAATTAAAGAATATTGTTTGACCAAACAGTAAACACCTTTGAATCCATGTATTGTGTCATTCATTATTCATTTTAATATGTACTTTTTGTGTGACTTTCATGTACTTGGTATTATGAGGGAGAGAAATAGCTATGTTTATTTCAAAGATATTCAGCAAATAAATACTGTAAAGATTAATCATTGTTCATTAAAATCAGTAAACATAGAATCTATTTTTATCATTTCACCTGTTTACATTCAATCTTAAGAAATAATCTTTACCTATTTAAAGCACAGATTGTACGTCTGGGTTAGGAAGCTATTTGCAACATGATATTAAAACAAGATAGTTTGGGCTTCCCTGGTGGCACAGTGGTTGAGAGTCCGCCTGCCGATGCAGGGGACACGGGTTCGTGCCCCGGTCCGGGAAGATGCCACATGCCGCGGAGCGGCTGGGTCCATGAGCCATGGCCGCTGAGCCTGCGCGTCCGGAGCCTGTGCTCCGCAACGGGAGAGGCCACAACAGTGAGAGGCCCGCGTACCGCAAGGAAACAAAAAAAACCAAGATAGTTTAGCAAACTCTCATTTGGTGTAGATCAGCGTATATGTGGACTGTCCGGGTGCTTCATGTTACTGTCTCCACGTGTTGATCTTTTGGCCATTTTCCTCAACTCTGAGGAGAACAGAGGCAATAGGGTATGAAGACCAAAAAAGCAAAACAGAAAATTGCTTCTTATTAGAGGCTATGGTTCCAGGTAGAAGGTAGGATATGGGAAGCCATGCTTAAATTTAAATTATCCTAGATAACAAAATGTAAACCTATCGGTCAACGTACCTTATCCTGAGACATTCATTATACCAGTTGAATATTCTATAATTTCATGCTTTAAAGATGCTAGTATGGCAAACCAAAAATGATTTCATTGTGTTATATGGGCGTGTATACTTTTATTTTTGCATTATTGAACTTTATAACAATGATTACTAATTTGGCATTTTTTGAGTACTGAATCAGACCCTGTCTTAGTGTGTTTAGGCTGCTATAGCAAAATACCACAGACTGAATAGGTTAGAAACAACCGAAATATATTTCTTACAGTTCTGGAGGCTGGAAGTCCAAGCTCAAGGCACAGGCGGATTTGGTGTCTGGTTTGTAGATGGCGCCTTCTTGCTGTGTCCTCAGGTGGTGGAAGGGCAAGGGATCTCTCTGGAGCCTCTTTTATAAGAGCACTAATCCCATTCATGAGGGCGCCACCCTTTTGACCTAAGTATTTCCCAAAGCCCTTACCTCCTGATATCATCATCTTTGGGGGGGTTAGGATTTCAACATATGAGTTTTGGGGGGACGTAAACATTCAGACCATAGGAGACCTCTATTACCATACTCACGTGGAGTAACAACCAACCCAAAGAATCTGAAGACCCCAGGCTCACAGTGACAGGTTATTCTCACGCCCACGGGTCTGATGAGCAGATCCAGCCTGGGCTCTGCTGGGTCGCTCCACTTCAGGCTGTGGGTCTTGTCGGTTGGGCCAGTGTAGTAAGAGGTGCTGCAGAGTCAAGTGGCAAACAGACATGCAGTTCTAACGCAAGAGGAGAGTGAAGAGTGCAGATGGGTTCAGTCTACCCTCTGCAGATTTATTATTTCATTTTCCTTAGAAAATATCTAATGCAAATTCACCCGAAGTTTCCAGAACTACGTTCATGTTTGAACTTAGTATTTAATACCAACTCCTTTTTATGAGAACATTATTTTCTTTCCCTTACCAGTGTAAGTTGTTGTGTGTAGATGTACGGATGTCACACGGGTTTGCTCTAAGTCAGGATAATCTGTGTTCCTTCAGTTTGCGGGTCTGACCCTGCGAGGTTCACTTCTATAGCAGTTGCTTAGCAATGCCAATGTGAGAGTCCAGTTGTATAATAGCCCCTGAATAGCATTTCATAATGACCTCTAGATGTTTAGTATTTCCAACCTACCAACCCAACACCTAAGAGGGTTTCTTTACCTAGGAGCTTAAATTTTTGAAAACTGAATTAATTGCGAGGAAACAAAGAGCGCTCTGATTTACTAGGTAATTAGTGTAGGTGTATTAACAGAACTAATTATTGATGGTCTGTGCCAGGGGAACATTAACTGCCAATCTGTCCTCCATGCTGTGATTGGCATTGTCTTCACTTTGGTTCTTAGCAGTAGGCTACCGTGATTTCCAGACTCCCTCTGTTTTATTTAAGGTCCATCACAGTGCAAGAGGTTGACAATACAAGAGGTTCTAACTCTGTGATAAATAAATTCCTTAGCACTGACGTTGCTACATCTGCTTTCTCACTGACACTCTGCCTTCCCCCAGCTGTGGGTTGAAATACCTGTGTAAGACTGCATTGCCCTTAACTTCCTTTCTGTGCTGAGTGCTCACAGAGCCTTCTCTCATGGTCATTTAACTCCTTATACTGGAGGCTCCCAATCAGGGACTTTACTAGTAAAATTTCAGGTAAGCTAAGGCAGCGGGATAAATGGAAAACTCCAAATTCCTGTTCCATTAATTCTGAGACATTGTTGAGGAACTTATAGCTGTGTGAAAAGGAAAATCGTCTGTTGGAATCTGGTAAGGCCAAGAAAATGCCAGCATCATTGCATTTAGGATTCGCTAGCATAGAATAACAGGCGTGTAAACATGTTAGGTTCACTTTGCTCCCTATGAAAGGAGTGTGTGGAAGAAGTGCAGGGCTGGCATAATTGCAGGTCCTTTTCGGTCATCGGGAATCCTGGCTCCTTCGACATGTAATCTTTGGCTTCTGACTCTAAGATTACTTTATATGCTAAAATGTTTGCTAGAGAGATCCCACCTAAATTGCACATAGCAGGAAGGAGGAAGGGATAGAAAGGCAAAAAAATTCACACCTAGCTCTCCATCCCCCTTAAAGGAGCCTTCTCAGAAGGAATATACAGCAATCTCCACTTACAGTCACGTATCAGATTTAGTCGCAGGCCACACCAACTTGCAGGGGAAGCTGGGAAATGGTGCTTTTAGCTGGATATACTACCACCAATAAAGTCAGGGTTCTGTTTCTAAGAAGCAGCGAAGAATGGATATTGGGTAGCAGAGTTGACTGTGTCAGGTAAAGACAGGCTTGCATCTGGTTCACTTGGGGAACTTATCCTTCTAGGTGGTTCTGACACAGCCAGCTCAGGGAACTGCTTTTAGGTATTCTTACGACTTCTTTCAGATTAATTCCTTGACACTTTGACCATTTTAATTATACTGGGCCACCTGACCAATCTTACCTTACAAGCAGTATTGTTCATACACACTTGTACTTTCTAGTTTCTCTGTCGCAGCCTGTTGTGAGTATTATTTATTTACCTTGAAGACATCCTGTGTTTTTCACAGGATGGTCTACCTTCTAAGGAAACAAACAAACAGAAAACCAGAAACCCCCAAACAAAAAAGAAACCTCTTTTTTTCTACGGACGTTCATCTTTCTATTTGAAACTCTTATTATGGGGCTCAAACCCAGAACTGTAAAACTAAGTACTGTCAGTAGAAATTGGCAAAAATACATTTAAAAAATCATTTGTTTTTTCCCTCTCTCGTTATGGGTCATTACAGCTATGTAGCATAAGCTAAGTTGGATCAGAAATGTTATCGGATTTTTGTAGATAATTAAATGAGCTATTGGTGGCACCAAATCTTACATCGCTTAGTTTGGATATATACAGCAATATTACCAAAGAATATTTTTCATGGGTAGGGCTTGCATGTTTTAAACTATATAATGGTTTAATTCCTGTTGC